TGTAAAAAAAATTTAAATTATGAAATATCGTAAAACTAGGAGGTAGGTTATGTAGATATTTCCCAWAGTCACGCTGCTAAAGGTTCATTTTTTTAAAAATATTTTATTGTTATTGTGATATATTTTTGTTAGTTTTTTCAAAAACTTAAAGTATTTATGAATAAAAATTAGATAAAAAATAAGGAACTCTAAATATTTTGAATGTTTAGCCCACAAAAGCAATTCAATAAATAGAAACTTAAAATAGTAGAGCTGTTCATAAATATTTATTTAGGGTTCGGGGTTAGGGAAGGTGAACAAACTGTCTKYATTTAATGTGACACGAGTAATCGATCGTCATCTATGCTATGCAGAGATGTGCGATTCTTAAGGGTATTACAAATACGTATACGACTTCCCCTTTGTGTCCCATTTGAATTATTAATTGCTTAATTAATTGACACTAATAAATCTGAGACCGATTTCAGCTCGACTTGATTTCAAGTATAAATACAGTGAATTGGTTCTATGAATTTATCTTCGTTAGTAAGTATGTCGTTGTATATATCAATATATCTTTTGGTTCAACGTTGTAAATCGCATAATCGTGTTAACACTTGTAAAATGTAAAAGATGCGTGTATAGGAACAATTCAGAATTATCAAACTTGTGTAGAAAAAGCTTGAATCTTGTACGTTTTGTGCACTTTGTCGTTTTATATTAGATTACTCTTCAAAAAGTTTTTCATTTGAATATTAAATGTCTGCGTTGTCGCTATTTATACTTATTGTACATGTTAATGATTAGTTTAATGATAATTATCAATTATCTATTTACTGAATTATTCTAATCATATTATTATAATATGTTTATTGTTTAACATATTCATTAAACGGAAACATAAGGCACGATAAACTCATTGATCTACATAGTTCTGGTTTAAAATAAACTGATATCATAATTAATGTCTGAAATACGAAAAAACAAGGGATGTTTTATGGTTTGATCAATAGAAATTTGTTAATATTGACATATATTTAAATAGTCTAAACATCTAGTGACACGCAGGTATTAATTTAATATAATTATTATTTATTATTTTTAGGAAAATTTGCCGAAAATATTTATATAATAGGTAACATATTTTATATTCTGTGCGGAGCGATTGTATTGATTTTACAATAACATGTTGTGTTTGTGTGTATATGGATGTAAATTTAGATTGTTTTTCATAACAAATTGTCATCAAGTTGGTACTTTTAAGAGATGAAAGTTGAAAATTTCCCGTACTTTTCTAGAGAATCGGAAAAACTAAAATATTTATATATATATATATATATTATATTAAATAAAAATGGGAAATTTTTGCAAAAAAAACAGTTTTTTTTGTGTATCTCAAAAATGAATTACCATAAATATTTGAAATTTTCACTGAATGTTTATAGGTATAAGCATTTTCTTTCCGCGGAAAATTTTTTAATATATTATGAATTATTTTGAGTTATTCATAGATATTTGAAATTTGTCGAAAACTTTTAAATACAAGGTTCTTCAAAATTTGTTATATAAGCAATTATTAAGTATAAAAGATACTTAATATGCATGTTTTTTTTTTTATGTGCATTTGAAGTTCAAATTTGATTAGATTCGTGAAAATCACTAAATTTTGAAATTAATTATATAATTTATAAAACATTTAATTTTTATATCTATAACGTGCAACTTTTTAAACAGTTTCTCATAAGTTTTTCATGCTGTTACCAAGAAATCCACAAATTATGTAAATACAACGTCTTTGAATCTTTTTAAATACCAGGTGATTCTTTATCATCGAACACTCATTATTTCAAAAATTATTAATGTTTTTTAAA